GGTTCCCAAAATATTACTACAGTACTGGCAGGAGTATGTACTGCCTTGGAGGAAGACTCAGGATAAGATATTATTCAAGTCAAGTTGTATCAGAGCCAAAGTATTTCACAGGCTTAGCAAAAGAGGACAAAAATTAAGAAATATAACCTACACATATTTCTCATAAGATTGATCATTGTCCAGAAACAGAAATATTCATTATTCTGAAGGCACCATCACACAAAAAAGGATTGACAAACACAGGGAATAGGCCCCCACCCTCCCACCCCCGGCCCAGCCCCGCTCCTCAAGGAGCTGTGTGAGCAAACATCCAAAAGCAAGTAGTGGGTGTCTCAAGGACAGCATGAGTACACCACATCCACTAAGTCACACCTTAGGACTACTAAGTTGGGACAGTAGGAATGAAAATGTCAGAACAAAAATACATATAATCCCATCGCCTGAAAAGATGCATGTGAGAATACAGAGCCACCGTACAATTCATTATGACAGAATACGTGATCCAAACCAACGCTGTGGAAAAGATTATTAGTGTCTTTACATATAACTACTTAATTCCTGACATGTTCTTGAAGAGGAATAGCCTTGAACTGCTAAACCACCTGTCCTTAAAGACTTATCCTCTCCCACTCACTTTAAATAATGGCTATTTCATGGAAAAAAAATCCCAACAAGGCACTGTGAGCATTGGGGGATATTCTTTAAGTAGCTCAAAAAATAATTATTTATAGAAACTGTATACCAGTACAAGCATTTCATGTTCTTTTTAGTTATGTGAACAACATTACTTTAAGGGTTACACATGTTTTACTGGATGCTCACATTGTTCATGAAAAACACTGCCAACAATAAGATGCCTTAAGAATGTGCATTTGCTGCTTAGAAATCCACACTAAAACTTTTTTTTTCTTTCTTACAATCATTAGTTCAGAATCTCTGAAAAATGTTCTTAATGACAATGTACTAATTTTCTTCCTCAGGGGAAAGAAAGAAAGTGTATTTGTGAACTAAAAAAGAAATCTTACATGTTCACAGGACTAAATGTACTTAATTCTGTGATGGTTCTTTGGCTTGAGTGCTCTATTATCAGTGACCCTTACTCATGCCTGTTAAGGACTGCTGTGGTTAAAAGAGCACATAAGAGTGCCCATTCTGCGAGGAGAATCCAAGGCTCAAATGAGAATGCTTCAGGTTCACAGAAGGCTAAACACCTCCTAGGAATATAACATTGTTTAAAAACTAGAGTGATAAAAACTTGCTAACAATATACTTAGTTATAAATCCAAAGGGATTTCATTATAATTAGATTGCATTTGATTATGCTACATTAATAAACTTGTAAGACTCGACTTACTATTTTCAACTCAAGAGAAATATGAAGATGAATAAAGTTGAAAGGAAAACACATGTGAACAGAAGAACAAGTGGCTTCACATTCCCTTTGAACAAAAACAAATCTCTTAGGCCTAAGTCCATTTAATTTTAAGTTTCCTTAAGCTGTTGATGTTACAAATAGCTTTTACAGTTAAATTATATATTAAAGACAAACACTGGCTTCAGGAGCAGGAAGCTGAGTACTTACATCCTTCATATCAGATAAATTTATTTCAATAATTAAAAAAATCTTTTACACTTGCTGATTTCAGCATTAATGTGTAGCGTCCTTTGCAGGATACTGAAATTAGTAAGAATAGGAGAGTATATTGTCGTGAGACTCTGTTTGAAACATGAAACTTTTGAATTTCATGAAAGCCAAGTTTCCATAATTCAATAAAGCCAAGGCAATTCTGGATTCTTCAATTCTAAATTGGCACGTGTTATTTTCAGCTTTTCTCTCACCATGAGCTAAGCCCTAATTAAAATAAAAGTTGCTAAAGATTACGTGGTTAACAGAGTTATAAAAGTTGACCTTAAATCCTATCTTGGTGTTTCTTAAAATATAGATATGCTTCCCACAGAATTCTATTATGCCCCAAACACCAGCATAGGCAGTTTGTGGATAGCCAAGATAACACATTTTTGCTTGAGACCATAGGGTTTTGCTAAGCTAGGGCTAAGAACATGACAAAGGAAAATCTCCGGAGCCAACATGCAGAAAGGTATTTTCAAAAATGCAAGGTAGGACATAGTAGTAGTAAGAGAACATTCTGAAAAAGAGGTTTCCCGTGCAACCACCTATATATCTGGCACAGTATACACACTGATGGATGCTCAACATTTAATGCTCCTGTTTTCCAAAATATATCAATACAGCTATGCATTCCAGAAGGCTTCCAGCTTCTAAAAGTTAAAAATAACTTCTAATAATAGTACTAGAGTGTGTAAGCACTTAGGAAGAAAACTGCCAACTCCTCAGAAGAATGAAGAATTTAAACTTCATTCTTTCTAGTAAAATGCACAATAAACATGTGGCTTCTACAAATCTTACTAAACTAAAAAAGCGCAAATTACTCAGCATAAGACTAAATTCACTTAAGTACTGCAAATTGAACCAAACATTAAGGCAACAGCTTCTCTCTAGGGGGCATAAAGCCTATTCATATTGAATATTCAATGCAGTATCTTACTAGCAGCAAGTTCCAATGACCACTGAAACCCCAACCCAAATTTGATTTCAGCAAATGAAACATTAGAAATATGACTAATTTAAGAAAGACAAGTCATTGTTCTGCATCACTGAAAACCAACATGACTATGAGCTTTTAAAACTTAAATGTATTCCAAATGAGTTCAGGGCCTTACACAATGTTCTCTGGGCTTCTATGAAACCGTTTCAGATATTTCAAAAATCAGAGGCAAGGTTTAAGTGCTTCTGTACATATGCAAAACCCAGTTCTCCAGAGATACTAAACATATGCTGAGGTACCTCCCAGAAACGTCTGAGTAAAAGACATTCTGATTTACTAAGTCAGAGTGGACCACAATGATGAGGGTTCGTGTGTTTCAAAATGATCCCTATAGAAATGATTCCAATTACAAAATGTAGTCATCACTATAAATCAAGGTTGGGGAGTCCTGCATACATCGGAGAAGATAAAATAAAGACATAAATCTCTAATTTCCATAAAATTCACATAGAATACTGAATATAACAATTTTGGCTATCACATTTATGTTTCCTAATATCAAATACAGATTTCTGAGGTTGCTGAAATCTGAGCTCCTGGGAAAGAACATTATAACAATCATAAGCAAAGGAATGGATCTGCTTACGAATCTGTTTTATTTACAAAAAAAAAAACAAAAACAAAAAAAAACTCAGAAATACGAATACACTCCAGTGAAATTAGACCATATTAAATCTTACATTCTGATCACCAATTAGAGAAATTACCTTCATGAGTAGATGCATTTTATAAAGCTGAGATCTTTGTAATTCTAGAGGCAAGTGTACTTTCCTCACCAGTTATCCAAGTATTTTAAATATCAAGGACTTCAAGCAAAGATCTGCTGGAAATTTTATCAATAAAAATAAATCACTAATGAAGAAAAGCAGTTTCTAACAAATAAGATACATATTTTTGTTGTTATACTAAATATTTAATTTTGATTTGCTTATTAGATTTAAGTTTATTAGTTTGAGGCCAATTTTATTAGCTAAAAATGATTTATTATTTTGAAGTCTTAAAAATACCATCTTGTTAATTTTAAATTTTCACTTTTCGGGTTAAGGCTACTTCAGATATAAAAGGTATTAAACTGCCCAAAAATACTTTGGAGCTGTTGCTACAAAGACAGTGTGTCCTTTTAAAGGATCATCTGCATTTTTCACTTTACATTATCTGATCAAATATTAATTTTAAAAAATTATCAAAAGTTAGGTATTGTATTAAGAAAAGAATCCATCTCAAAATGTGAATCATGAACTTTGACAGACAGTGATTTAAAGTAATCATTTATTTTAATATTCAGGTTGAATGTAAAAATGTTTGCTAAGTGTGATTAATGTTCTTCCTATGATTTAAGAAATATAATATTTCAAACTTTTGGTTATGGTACATGTATTAATACATTACATTTTCTTTAAATTTAGGTTAAACCAGTAATTAAAAAAAGGCATTAAACCATTATTAAAAACTAAATTGAAACTTTACTTTTATATGAAAATTTAGGTTTGGGTTAATTAAAAAAAAGACTGTCATTGAAAATATTGAGGACTTCAAGTTCAATAGCTGAATGAGGACTGTGTTTCTTTAGCCAAACAATTCTTTGAATTGGAGATAGTAAGTGTAAGGAATCTTCCTTCTTCTGCTCCTGTTGCAGCTTCTTATGCACCTCAGCAACAAGAATGTGAAATCAGAAACACTAGGACTCTAAACTGAAAAAAGGTATTCATTCATTCTTGGTAAACCTGGTCTTCAGGCTGAATGAGTGATAAGTTGGCTTTTCCTAGAAAACATATTTTGAATGAACTAGCATACAACAATAGATTACCTCAGTGACACAAATACAACTCACACTGAGTAGAAATAGAAACATGGAGAACAAAAACATGTCCCCCTAACAGAATAATTTGTCTATGATGATTTAAGGTTTTATAGCTGTTAACTAATTTCAAAGAAAAATGTAGGTCAAACACCTTACAGAACTGAAGGCATCCTAAATAACAGGTTGCCTGTACTCCCTTAATGAGGATCCTCCTTTAATTACCTACTCACACTAGGATGTGCTCTTTGCTTGTCAAAAACATCCTTTTAATAACAGGCTAGATAAGCAATAGATGACACCAAAATCCACCTTTGTTCCCAAGAGGAAGAACCAATACAAAACAGCTGGCAACATCTTCCTCTGAAATAACAACACACTGTGCTGCCTGACTAAAATTTGAAATGACAACCAGTTGGCTGTAAACTGATAACACTTACTATGAGAGAGATTTAGGAATACCATTTGTCAATCCATAGATGCAAAAACAAACAAACAAAAAAGCTACAAATGAAACAAACTTACTTTAAACCAATAAACAAATGTGGCTGAAATAGAGTCCATGATATATATATATATATATGATTACTGGTATAACCATAGCTGAAGATTTCAAAAAAAATTTTTTTTTTTACTTTTTTTGTAACAATAGTGATGGATTTATAAAAGGTTTCTGTTTCCAAAGATGTTATTGGGGTCCACATATTCCTTGACAGACTTCAGCATCCCATAGCCGACATCAGAGATACTTTCCTTTAGCCACTGCTTCCGTAACTTGCCGACTGGAAAAACAAAATCAAAAACGCTTCAATATACACTATGATACTGAGAACCAATCAATCTTATGACCATGAATGAACAAACACTGTGTGATAAATGCTTTTATTCAAAAATGAGAAATGTTTTGCTTTATTTGATTTATTGAGCCCACTAGACTATCAAGCTCATTAAGTCCAATGCATTCCCAGGGGAAGCCCAAGCTCCACAGTGTCTCCTTTCTCTGTAAACTATAAAATGGAGATGGCGGAAGCTTGGGCTGAAATTTTGCCCTATTTTACAAACAGCAGAATGAGAAAAACATACCTTTGTAAAAACCCCACCAACTGCCTTAACCAAAACATGCCAAAATTTCAAAGAAAATTAAGTTCTAACAAAAGAAACATCATACTCAGATGAATTTGTTGGCTGTATATAGCAAAAGTGATAGTCTGTCTCTGTGAAATTATTTATAAAGAGAATAAAAGCTTTAAAAAAATTTAACTTGAAAATTTAACGGGTTTTAGCAAGAATCATCATGAAGCTTTTTATTTGCATTTTCTTTTCATATTTCTTCTATATAAACTTTCATGTTCCCTAGTGATGAATATTTTCTTCTTATTAGAGACTTTTTTGGGTACTAAATAAATTCCTAATCCACTAAACTTATGCTTCTGCTTTTATGCCCTGTGTAATGTTCTCTTTCTTTGTTTCTAGATCTTGCTAATTTACTTTGAGAATAATGAAGTAATATAATGGTTACAGCATAAATTATATTTTAAAAGGCACTCAATGAAAAAAGTAACCATTTTAAAGTAGCAATTTCATTAGAAAGGTTATGTACTTAACCTGTAAAAGAACTCTGAAAGTTTAACATACTATATTTTGCTGACTTATCTGAGGTAAAATAGATAATCTTTTAATTTATGGGTAAAATTGTTTGTAGTTAGTATTTTTGAAACACATTATTGTAATAATTGGAGTCAAATGGTCATTTTCCCCAAATGTTCATTAATGATCCAAAGTCATCAACAGTAATTTAATTGGCCAACTGAAATGGGAAACCTTTTTTCATTAAAGTATTCAGCTTGTCATTCTAAAATGAACTCCATTTATCAGGCTGTGGTGATACCATTGCATCTGCATTTTGGGAACGTAAAGACCATTTTAAACTCAAACCATCTTTGAGTATAGTTCTTCAGGAAACTACCAAAATGTCAAACAATAAATAGAATAATGTCCCTGAAAGCAAAATATTTCCACTTGACTTCTAGAAATTAAAAAGCACAGCTGATCTTGAGATGGGGCAGAATGTGGATTTTTTAATTTAAAAAGAAAAATTTTGCTTAAAATATCTAAAACCAGAACCTAAACAGTGTAAGTTCTTACACTGTTCCATCTGAACAATGTTCCATCAGGTTGTCCTACTATTTACCTATATTCCTAAGGGACAACCCACCTCTCCATGCTTCAGTCTGTTTTTTCATGTGCAAAGGGACTGGAATCTATACAGTTTTCTTCACTTCAAATATTTTGATTTGTAAGAACTTAAAGTTACAAATCAGTTATTTTCAGCTTTGCTCTAAGGGATTAAAAAAAAGGGATAAAGTAACTACTCTGTGAGTGGTAAAAGTAGCATATATAAGCTCCCCACACTAATGCAGCCCAAAAGAGAGGCGTGAAATGCAGTCAATGCCAATCTCCACTGTTATCTGTAATATAGTTTCACTGAATGTGTCCTGTGGTTATGGATGTAATTGTCCTGAAAAGACTGCAAACAACTGCTCCAACGAGATGGAGCACATTAGAACCTCAGCAGGAAGCCCAAAAGCTAGCTTGTCTGCCTGGTTTTACACCTCTAGTAATAATGCAATTCCACAAGGAACTGAACCATTGTCTGAGAAGCCACCCAATAGTCATTGCATATTTAATGAAGTCACTCACCAAGCGCTGGAAAACAGAAGGTGCTTGGAGTGCATCATTAGTTCTGTCAGAAGGATAATTTACACATCTATCTTGTCAAATTTTCTATGGTTTATACTTTTACAATAATCAATCTAACATACATTTGATTAGTGAACTAGAAAGTTAAAAAAAAAAGGGCAGTATAGTCGGCATAGCTGTGGCTCCTCATAAACATATTTGATGAAAGAATTTAACTCCTAGATAGCAGAAGTTGTGAGCTGCTTCTGTCAGTGAAAACAGTGTTCTGACTGAGGTTAGAAATCATGAATTATAAATGAAAGGGGCCAGGAAATTGTTTGGTTTTGCTTAACAATTTAAGTCAACTACATTATAGGAAGTACAAATAAACACACAATTTTAAGTAAAAATGCTCAATGGTCTTTACAATAAGATAGTCTTCAAAAAACTCTAGACTCTCTGTGGCTGTCTCAAATCAAAATAGTAACAACGAAACATCCAAAGCCTTCATTCTAAATAAGGACCACAATTCAAAATAGAAGACTTTTATTCTAGAACTAAACAACAATTACGTTCCTTTTACAGCTTTTATTTCTACAGCTAGACATTTAGAAATAAGCTGATTACCCCCCACTGTTCACATGTAACACATGTGTGCACAACTAAATAGTAAACATTTCTAGAGGTCATTTTCAAAACTAAAACTTTGATTTTTATGTTTTATTGGTGGAAGGGTGAATGAATGATTAAAAACAGCAAATAAAAGGTGGCCTAAGATCACTTCACAATGCTTGTATGTGACAGTTATCCACTGAAAAGCCACATGAAGTTTACTCATCTCCCACACAGATTATCTGATGTGGAATATTCGTAATTATTTTCATCATATTCAACTACATTCCTTTGACATCTGATTTTTTAGGAGTACAAACCTAGCCCAAGTCAACACTAGAGTTAACAAAAACCAAGTCTACTACTTTTCAAAACAAGACAGGGAGGCTGAAATCACAATTGACTATTATTCTAAATACATAATGCTCGAAGTACTTTAACTAGCTATTTGTTTTAAAAGTACTTTTAAAGATACAAGAAACAGGTCAGCCAGATACTGAAAATCACAGAAAACTAATGGGAGAAAACTGTTTCTATTTAAATTAAAAGTGAAGTTCACCTTTTTACAAATTTATTTCTAATGATGTATTTATAGACAAAGTAAAACAAGTACCTTGTGTTCTGCAATAAATAGAACATTTAAAAAATTTACTTCTGGAACAGAGGAAATGGACACTTAAAGGTAGTTTTTAGTATCACAGATTCAACATTCCCCTCTAGTTGCTAAAAGCTCCAATAAAGAAAGTATCCTGTAGTATGATCCAGAGCAAAAAAAAAGAGAACACACATTAAAAAAGAAGTAAGGGTGTAGGAGTGCTGTTTGTGAAGAGGATGAATGTGGATGGTAAGCCTAGCCACCACAATGATCTGGAACTATTCTTTGCAGTCTAAGGGACTAAAGACAGCAAAAACTACCAAACAGTCCCATTTTAAGAGATATTTCTGGGATGTGCTAGCTAAAGTTCTTTTCAGCTAGATAAATTAAAACCTTTTTGAATTATGAATATTAACTTTGAAAAGATTTATTATATACTCATTTTTAAAATCTTGTACATTTACAAGATTACAAAGGTTAGAGCTCAGTAGTCCAATTTAGTCAAAGCTAAAACCACCTAACCATTATTTTAAATGACTGTATTTTAGAAGTTCTAGTTTGCACATCCTGGATACCTCCTCAGTACTAACCTACAGGTCTTATTTAAATAAAAACATCATTCTTAGCCATAAATCCCTACCTGTAGGAAGAGTTAATCTACAGTAAAGGAGCCAAGAATATACACTGGAGAAAGGAAAATTTCTCCAATAAATGGTATGGAGAAACTGGACAGTACAGGCAAATAATTAAAATAGACCCCTATCTCATGCCATACACAAAAAATTAACTCCAAAATGTATAAAAATCACGGATGTAAGACATGAAACTAATAAGCATAGATGAAAATTTAAGTAAAACATTCCATACTGTAGGCCTTAGTAATGTCTTTGTGGACTCAAAATCAAACAGCAGACAAAAATAGAATATAAACATTGAGACTACATCAAACTGTAAAGTTGCACAGTGAAAGAAACTATCACAAAGACACCCTACTCCATGCCACAACATAATGGGGCAATGGGTGGATATCCAAGATCTACAAAGAACTAATAGAATTTGAGGAAAGCAATCCAAAAATGGGCAGAACTAAATAGGCACTTCTTGTAGGAAGATATATGAATGGTCAATGAACAAGAAAAATGCCCATCATCACTTACCATCAGAGATGATAATATGGTCCCTGATGAAAAACAGTATGCAGATTTCTCAAAGTATTCAAAATAGCTCCACCATATGATTCATCAATTCACTCTTAGGTATTTACCTGACAAATGTATACATGTACATCTATGTTCACTGAGACATGATTTATAGTAGACAATTATGGAAACAACCTAAGTACTCAGACAGGTGAATGGATTATGATATATATATATATATACATACACATACACCCACACCCACACACAATGGACTATTACTCAACTATGAAAAAAAGATAATTTGTAATCTGCAGCAACATGATTGGAACTGGAGAGAATCATGCTAAGTGAAGTAAGTTAGAAGGAGAAAGACAAATATATTTGTATAGTGTATATAGGATTATATGTAGAATGTAAAGAAAGAAAAGGTTAGATAAAACCAAACCAATAACAAATCCTAAACATCTGTAGAACTGAGGCTATGAAAGGAGAGAAAATTGGAAAGGCACACAATGGACTAGGCTAAGAACTTTCAGTGTCTTGGTGTGTTGTAGTGACCTCTGGAGAGGTGTGATACTACACCTCTGAAACACACAGTACTGTAAACTATTCTTACTTTAGTAAAAATATAAAAAAGTAATTTCCTCCCCATAGTTGACTCTTGGAAACCACTATTTCTATAATTGCTTCATTTCAAAAACATTATAGAATCATATAGTATGTAAACTTTAATACTTGATTTTTTTTTTTTTTT